ATCCTTATTTACACTTTCAGTTTCTCACACTAGAGAAACTATTTGGTATTTACACATGTGTATCCTATTTATTTCACTTAAGAGTGTGGTCTCAATATGCATCCATTTAGCTGTAAATGTCTCTAGTTTGTCATTTTTTATGGCTGAGTTGTACTCAGTTTTGTAAAAAAACCACATCTTCTTTATCCAGATTACAGTTGATGGGCACTTGGGGTGTTTCCAAGCTTTAGCTATTACAAACTGTGCCACTATAAACATGGGTGCACATACATGGCTGTGGTATGATTTTTTTTAATTCTTTGGGGAAGATACCCAGCAGGGGAATAGCTGGGTCAAATGGGAGCTGTAGTCCTAGTTCTTTGAGGTAACTCCATACTGATTTCCAGAGTGGTTGCACCAGTCTTTCTTTCTGTTTTCTGTTTTTTGTTTGAAGAGAAAACATTTAAAATTTTGATGACATCTAATATGTCATATTTATTTCCTTTATCCTAAAACATTTTTATGCTCTAAGGTTATAAAGGTTTTCCATATTTTTATGTGTAAAAGTTTTATAGTTTTATCTTTCATATTTATGTCTATGAGACTTTTTTGGTTAATGTTTATGCTTGCTATGAATTAAGAATTGTGCATCATTTTATCCATATGGATATGAAGTTGTTAAAGTAATATACGCTGAAAAATCCCCATTGAATTGTCCAAAATTAAATGTGTCACTGCACATGTGGATATACCCAATATATACGTGAATCTATTTTTGGACTGCTTTTTGTGCTTCTTTGATCTGTAAATCTATCACTTCACCAATATCATATTGTCTTGATTATTTCAGATTTATGATAAATCTTGAAGTCACGCATTGGAAATCTCCTATCCTTATTCTTTATTTTCGGAAATTTCTCTCACTAATTCTGGTTAGTATGTACATCTATACTATATAAGCCTGTTAATTTATATAAAAAGTGATTGGATAATATTAATCCACATTGCATTGACTCTATAGGTCAACTTTTGGAGAAATTGCACCTTAATGATATTTTGTTTTCCAATCCATGAATATGGTATCTCTTTCTCCATTTAATTAGGTCTTTAATTTGTCTTTCAAATTTTTAGCAAAGAGGTTTTATGTAGATGTTCATAAAATTTCTGTAAAATATTTATGGTATATGGCATATTTTAAACACAATTTTTTCTGACTTAATAATTGCTAGAATATAAACTTATATTACTTTTTATATGATATGCATTTATCTTATTTGACTAAATTAGATAAAGTATTT